TATCAAATTATTAATTCATTAAATTAAGGGATTAAACTTTGACTTTCTAATTTAAGTTAAGTTCTAGAGTTTTAATATTTTTGTTAAATACTAGACCCTAAGGTGCCTAAAGAGACATTAAGTTTGCTAGATTTAAAATTTTCTATATTAAGTTATGATTTTTTAAAATATTGTCTTAATTTCGAACTAAAGTTGACTAAAGAATTGGCTTTTTTATTTAAGTTGAATTTTGGATGTTTGAGATTTCTAATAAATATTAAACACTGAAAGAAGTCCAATGACTTTGAGTTTGTTTAATTTGAGATTTTTTAAAAATAGTTATGAATTTTTTAAATTCTGATGTTTAATTGAATTATTAAATTTCTTAATTAAGGAGATTTTGATGGTTTTAATCCAAACTCGGTCCAAACTCCATGAAATCACTCTTAAAGGTTAGAGATGACCTACAAGAGTGTTTTTAAGGGGTTGAAATTTATTTGGGATTTTTAATATTACAATAAAATTTAAAATAGAGTTTGCACATATGAAGAATATTTATGGGCCAATGTTTGTTAAGTTTAAAATGCGCATTGCTTAAAGCTATTTAAACCTAGTTGTATAGAGCTAAGGTTAAGGATTTAACATGGTTGGATCGATGGCTTTTGTTGTTTAATGGCTTGTTGAGATTATATACTATCCATGTATATTTCCTCAGAAGAAATTGACTGTTGAACTAGCCTATATCATGAGCTACTTGAGTTGGATGGACTATGTGGCACCTCTCATTAGGATCTCATAGCTGACAACCTTTGGCCAATGGATTTGAGCTGGGGAAGTGAAGAGGAACTCTTGGAGAGTCGAAACAAAATGATAGAGTGGATGGAGAAGCTCTTGTGAGTGAGTATTAAATGAATGAAGGAATTTGGACCCTTGGGTATATCTTGGCATTAGGGTTTGAAATGGACGACCCTAATATATAAAGTCTTTTCTTTGATGAAGGATAAGTGTCCCAGGCAATTGGAGAGCATAGAAAAAGGTTTTCCAAGCCACATTCCCATTGGGTGACTCCACATGAAGGGGACAACACTTGCTTAAACTAGCTAAACTAACTACTGGGGCTTGCATGAGAAGTGTTTAAGAGGGTAATAAAACCCATGTGACTAAATTAAGATAAGTGGTTTGGAGAGAAATTAGTTTAAAAGGAATGTTGACCATTTAAACCCATCAAAAGCTTTGTGTTGACTGTTTGGCCAATCAACTTGATAAGCTGACTGGTGAGGTGGCTTTGAGGGGATGTGGGTGCTCTTGAATTTGAGTGGAAGGGGTTAAGGATGTTATATGAAATGCATGAATAAATACATGTGGGGTTTAACCAAAACCTTGAGTTGACTTAGTCATATGCCATATGATTTGACTTATAATAAGCATGATTGCATTCAAACCATAATATGAGATAAAATTGGAGGCTTGATGGGAGTTTGATTTAAGTGAGAACTGATTTGACCAAAAAGCAGAAGGGTTTGACCAAGCTCAATGTTTTAACTTGGTCAAACTCACCAAGATTTGACTCATAAATGAATTAAAGGTTTTCACATCAAGCACTAGAGTGGATTTGAGGATTTGGAAGAATTGAATTAATTACATGAAATTAGTTGACAAAGATAGATCAACTTTGACTAGACTTGGGTTTAGTTGACCAAGTTAACTGGTTATTGAGATAAAGTGACTAGTTAAGAAAAATTCATAAGGAGTTTGGTGAAGAATATGATTGATTTGGAAGTCAAATATTGGAGTTGACTAGAGCAAGTGACCAGTTCAGCTAACTAAACTAGGTCAAATTGGGTCAACCATTAGCCCATATAGTTAATATTGTATAATTTTATGTTTGGAGATCCTAATGAGGAAATTTGAATATATCTGAAGCCAAATGGCTAGTGTCCTATGCTGAATAGTGCACTAAACTCAAGGATCATGAGTTAAGGGTGATTTGGTCAACTAGGATTGACTTGGTTAAACAAACAATGATTGGATTTGTATCCAATAGGTTCAAAAGAGTGATTAGAGACCAATGGAGGTGATCTCAGGCTATGAAATGATCATTGGGCTTAAAATGGCAATTTGGATCCTTAAAGGGCAATTTGATCAACATGAATTGACTTGGTCAACCATGTATGACCAAGGCTTGAATTTGAGTCCAATGCACTCTTAATAATGTTTAGGATGCATTAGAAGAGGTTTCAAGGTTTGATTTAACTGAGTCATGTTAAAGTTTGGAGTAAACTTCAATTTTCCCCTTAAGGTGTATCTTGGTAATTTGGACTCCTTGTCAACTATGGGTCAACCTACATCCACTAAAGTGCAGCTTAATGTTCAAAATGACATTACAAGGTTATGGACATAGTCAAAGCTTTTGGGGAAGGTCCTAGGGTCAAATTCCATAAGGTGGAAGGTCTAGTAGCATGTGATATAAATATTTGAAGGTTTTATAGCCTTTGGATTTCAATCAAATTTTTGAAGTTAGAGGTCTCGGATTGGACTCAAATTTAGAGGATTGACCGTAAGGACATGCTTAATCAATATTCAGTTGATAGATCATGAATCGAGGGAAATTTAACTAGGTTTTGAGGTGACTGAAAAATCATCGAGAAAGTGTTATAGGATAGGGCCTTTAACCTTAATTTTTTTTCTAAAATTTTGGATTTGAATATAATTTTGAATTTGATTGATTGATTAAATTTGAATTATCCACATCAAGGAAAATCAATTGAGTGATTATTGATAATTGGATAAATTGAGTCAAATAATAATCACTAGGTGCGAGTATACTAAGCAAGGCAGTGTACTGAGTCAGCTTACTACAATGCAGGGCAGCAACTCTAAGTTACTATAGATTGATGCTGAAAGGGTGATTGAATTGATTGAAGCTTGATTGAAGGCTGGTTGAAGACTGGATGTTTAAAGTTTGAATGAAGATTTAATTTAAGTGTGATTAAATTCTGGATTGAAGTTTGATTGAAGCCTAAATTCTGGATTGAGGTCTGATTAAAGATTGGATTAAGGTCTAATTAAAAATTAGATTGATGTTTGATTGAGTTCAGGATAATTGATAGTAAGATGATTGTCAACCATTTGATTAACATGCAGGAGTCTGGATGGATCTTGATGACCTCATATAGAAATGGGGTCGACATAGAGAGAAGGCTCTTTAAGGCTTTTTCGTATGTCACTCTTATTATAAAAATTATTTTGACTATTGTAAGTGATCTGTACTCTATTTTTATTTTTGAAGATTTTGACTTTGGTATATTTATCCCTCCTAAACTTGATAAAAATGTGATATCTTTTGTTCTAGTGAACTTTCACCAAATGAAATTTTGACATGTGATAATTATTATTATTCTAATTTTTTTTAGTAGTTTATATGAAACTTTCATAAGGTAAATATGGTTATGATTTTTTTTCAAAAGTTAATAAATATTGTATAGATTCTCTTATATTTCATAGCTCATTCATTTTATACATGAAGTTGAATGTTGACTTATCTAGAAAAAAATGACAATGCTAATGCATGGATGCATTTGCAAGTAATCAAGAAAGGCTGGCTGAAACCACTATAATGAATAGAGACTAGCTATTAAAACTTAATATTCTATATAGGAGGGTGGGCTAACGAGCTTTCCTTTAAATAAAAAGATTTGTACTATAATCCTAGATGTTAGATTGAAAGTGGTTGGTTGAATTATGCTGATAGATAGAGTGTGATAACTCTTTATTTATTGAATGTTACCTAATAATTGTTTTAGAATTTATGATTGAAGATGACAATATAAAGACTGATGACCAATTAGTTTAAAGTTGGGGATCAAGTTAAATAAATATGATCAACTAGTGGATAGTTTGGGTTAAAGATATTCAAAACACCATTTTAAAAGCTAGATGTCTTGCCTTGTTGAATTCAACATAAATATGCATACATTATAATATAAATTATTGCATATATGATATGATAGATATAAAAATGATAAATTAACTAATAATATACAACTGATAAAGCTGATGTTACGTGAGATACAATATACGTGATTGATTAACTAATGATAGGATTGATTAATCATATGATTGACATGTAGCTAGGCTTAAATGGTACGTGTACTGATATGGACCTGCGATATGTGATGAGGATATAACTTATATGATATGATAAGATTAAACATGAATTACATGATATATTAACTGCTATATGTTTGAACATTTATATATTTATTGCTTTAGAGGGAGGAAGCCATGGCCGGACGTTGGAATTCATGTGAGAAGAAGGAATTGTGATGGGATTGGCGAAGCTGAGACAGAAAGAGAACAGCGGAGAAGGGGAGTAAAAGGGAAGGGAACTGGGGTGGGAAGAGAAGGAAGAACTAATGTAAGTAAGCCTAGTTGTTTTGATTTACTTGTTATCACAGCTGCTGACATTTTCAAGGAGCATGGTTGCTCTGCCTCTGCTTCTTCAAGTTGCTTTCTTCCAGCTTTATCTAGTAAAATAATCAAGGTTTTCTTTTTCTCGCACACGCGAAGAAGAAATCAATGTTCGTGGTGATGTTATATTAAAGTTGAAATTTTTGACTTTGTAAACACAAGTAATTAAAAAAATTGAGAAATTTTTCTTAAAAAATTCATTTTTGACAAAATTATCTGACATGATTGTAATTAAATTTAAAATTAGATTAGAACTCTCAGATATGCGAATAAGATTCAAATAAGATTTTATGGTTTTTTTTTTTTTTTTTTTTTTTTTTGTAAATTTTGGGCTATTTTTTTTTTTTTTTTTTTTTTTTGGAAAATTTGGGCCTAAGCCCCTATATTAAAATTAGAGGAACAATTACAAGTAAAAAGATTACAAGTAAAGACTATCATACATAAGCAAAAAACAAAAACTTATGTAGGACAGAGATAAAAACCCCAACTATACCACCCAAAATACACAAAAAAGTACTCAAAAAAGTGGTAAAAGTTACAGTAGAACTTGATCACAGCAACCGAATCTCCCCACTGAGAAGCCCCGATAGCGTCAAATAGTGCTGCAGCAAAATTGAAGGACCTGTAAAAGAAACAAACAGTCTTCCAGCATATGTAAGAAATCAACATAATGGAGCAGGCAGCAAAAGGAGACGAAAGATCCAAGCTCCAGAACCCGTATGCCGAGGACTCAGAGAAATAAAATTTGGCTGAGAAAAAGCATTCCCCTGGTTGCCAAAAGGCCGTCCAAGGGGAAGGAAGAACATATTCAAAACACGGAGCATCATCATCGTCCTGGCTACAAAAAAAAAACACCCAGCCAACCATCCAGTCTAACCAGTCCAGCACAGCTTCAATAAGGAAAAAACCAGTTTCACTAACAGATATTGCCCACAACCAGCTCTCTGTCTTTCCATTTCGCAATTTTAATATTAATCACCCTTTTAATAGCAGCTTTAAGGGAATTAATACTATTATATTCATTAGCAAATCTCCTGCTATTACGTTCTCTCCAAATATAGTAAATAGTGCAACATACAACCAGCTTACAAAACTGCTTATAAAGAGAAGTACCCACAAAATCCGAATCCAACCATTGCAAAAGATGAAGAACAGTGGGCCTTAACAGAAATTCTCTAGTGGCAGGAAGGAGAGACTCAAGCACAGCAAACCCATATGGACATTCGAAAAATAAGTGATTAACAGATTCCGGCTCATTATGACATAAAGAACAAATTTCAGGCACATAGATGTTGCGCATTCTCAATGCATCTTGAGTTTTTAAGCCACCTACCAGTGCAAGCCACACATAAACAGAGTGTTTTAGACTATATTTTTGATGCCAGACAAGAGTATCCCAGGGGCATGCCGGAAAAGAGCTATAGAATTCCTCCAAAAAATCACTGAATTTAACCTTAGCCAACTCATTCCATCTTAAACAGGGACCAGAGCTATTGAGAATAGGAAAGCTCAAAATGAAATCCCTAATATTATGAGGCAAATCAACAGGTAAATTCCAAACACCATAAACAATATAATTTCTCAGCAAAGATAAATGCACCCAGCTTAAGATCTCACTGCCAAATAAGTCACACAATGAATGCTTATCACACCAATTGTCCCAAAACAAAGCAATAGGAGCAGTTGGTGTGATAGAAAATCTGAAATTATCCTTTACCAACACAACAGTTTTACAAATAGAAAGCCAGAATTTACTTGCAAGAGGCGGCGGAGGTTTCCACGGAGAGGTGTAGCGAGTAGATAGCCAAACAGCTAGAGGAGAAGAACTATTATACATTCTGTAGATAATAGAGCAGTTAAAAGCAAACTGAATGGCAAATAAAGAAGGGAGACCTAGCCCTCCTTTGGATTTAGGCTTGCAAACATTATCCCAAGATACCATATGAAGCTTATTGGAGCAATCAATATCACCAAAAAACAGGAATCTAGAGCAAGTTTTCTTGAACAACTTAAAAACAGTTTTAGGCAAAATAGATCCTCTGATCCAATAAGCAATAGTATTTTGTATTGTGAATTTAAGATATTGAAGTCTGCCAGCTAGAGAAAGAAGATTAGCCTTCCAATCGTTGAACTTTTTGTGTATACTATCCATCAAAGGAAAATAATCAGCGACTTTCAATCTATTGAAAGCAATAGGAATTCCAAGATAAGATATCTTGGTAGTAATATGAAAAATAGATAAAGCTTGGCACAGCAAATCCTAATTCCTTTGCTTTTTAGTGAACATCACAGAGCATTTATCATAATTCACCTTAAGACTCGAAGCATTCCCAAACTCATTGAGAATATTGGAGAGAAGAGTACAGTTCTCAATGGTAGCTTCTCCAAAAATAAGAACATCATCCGCATATAAAAGGTGAGAGAGCTGGAAATTTTCAGCATTAAAACCTTTAAAACCTCTAGCCTCAAGCAAATTAGAAAGAGCATCCATGACAATACAGAAAAGGTAAGGGCTCAAAGGACACCCTTGCCTTAGCCCCGAAGTAGAACAGAAGTAACCTTCTAAAGCACCATCAATAACCACAGAGAAGTTAACATTAGTAATACATGCTTTAATCCAGTTAATAAATGTATTGGGGAAGCCTTTGTGAAGCAACCTAGCAAGGAGAGATACCGAATCAAAAGCTTTTTTGATATCAATTTTTGCACAAAAAATATTATGTTCACCTTTTTTGGATACCAAAGAAAGGATATCATTAGCGAGCAAAATACTGTCAGTGGAAATTCTAGATTTAACGAATCCAGCTTGAGTATCTTTAACAATATTAGGCATCATAGGTTTAAGTCTACCAGAATCACTTTAGCAATTATTTTATAAAGGGTGTTACAAAGAGAAATAGGCCGGTAATCAGTGATAGAAGAGGCATTATGCTGTTTTGGGATAATAGCTAAAGCAGTGGCTTTGATCCCACTAGGAAGATATCCTTTAGTAAAAAAGGCATTGATAGCTTTACACAAATGCGGCCCAATAATATGCCATCCAGACTTGTAGAAGTGGTAATTGAAACCATCTGGCCCAGGTGAGGATTTAGAAGAACCCTTAAAAACAGCCTCCTTGATTTCTGCCTCTAAAATAGGTGAAATAAGAATATTAGCAAAACTGTCAGAGAGAACATCACCAACAGGAATAAGAGACTCCTCCGGCCTAGAAGGAGGAGAAGAGTTATACAATATTTGAAAATACTCCACAATGGAGCTTAGAACCTCCTCTCTAGATAAATCAGGATTGCAAGAGAAAAGATTAGTCAAGGACTTAGATCTCCCTTGCCTACTTCTAATCTTAGCATACAAGAATTTAAGGTCATCTTCACCATGATGTAGCCAATTAAGTTTTGCTCTTTGAATAACCCAGCTAGCAAAAGAAGAGGAAACATCAGCAATTTTAAGATTAATCTTTTTAAGAGCAGCCGTCAAATTCAACTCCAAGGGGTGAAGATGAATTTGATCCAATAAGTTTTGTTGCTGAACATACAGAGAATCCAAATCAACAGAAAGAGATTTAGAATTAGCCCATTGGTGATGTTTAATTTCACCTTTTAACTGCCTGAGAACCAAACAGAAATGAGAAAGAGGATTTCCAATAATAGGCTTAGAAAAGGCATTTAACAGTAAACTCCAATAACTGTCATATTTAGTCCAGATATTCTTAAACATGAATCTATGGTTAGATTTAAAACTTCTTCCCGGATGAAGAATAATAGGAGAATGGTCAGAGCAGGATGGAGATTGGAAGGAGCTGTAAGAATCAGGAAAATTCTTTATCCAATCCTCATTAACTAGAGCTCTATCAAGCTTAATAAAAATCGGATTAACAGTTTGCTGATTATACCAAGAAAAATGACTGCCAACCGCATTTAAATCCACCAACTTATTAACAAAAATCATGTTGTTAATATCTACTAATTGAGAGTGATGAAGCGGCAAACCTCCCATTTTATCAGAAGCATAACGACAACAGTTAAAATCCCCAATAACAGCCCAGGGGACATCACCAGAGGGAGCAACCGCACAAATAGAAGCCCAAAGATCTTTCCTGTCACACGCATTATTGGCAGCATAGACAATAGATAACTGAAAAGGGGAGAAATTACCAACCTTAACAGTCCCATTGATCAACTGTGAAGTGATCAGAGAGGGAGTAAAAGTGAGCTTATTCGCATCCCACTTTATCCAAATCCTCCCAGAAGAGACTAAATCAAAATTGTGAACTCTATCTTCATTAGAAAAAAGCTGATGAGAAGATTCGAAAAATGAATCCATAAGAGAGGAGACATGAATCCGAGTTTCCAAAATACATAGCATATCAAGTTTTAATGATTGAATCAAACGCTTGCAGCAAAATACTTTGTCAGGCCGATTAAAACCCCTGACATTCCACACTCCAAAGAGGGGAAGAGACATCACGAAATGTGGAGGGCTTGGGATTTTTTACTCTACTTTCCCTTAGCAGATTTTTTGGACGTTTCAGTGATAGCCTGCTTTTTACCCTTAATTGTCTGCTTAGTTCCATTTCCAACTAAATCAGCACTAGAATCCTCTCTCTCCATAGTATCCAAATCTGTATGGGTACTAAGAATATCAAATTTATTTGGAGAGTTAATGCTTGTAGATGGCTTAACGGAAGAAGCCAGAAGGGAGGTGGAAGAAGTGGACTGTTCTTCAGCTTGAATATTCAAGTTTGGGATGGTAGCATTAATGTCAGCAGAGGAGTTTCCAACTATATCTGTAATAACATTGGGAGGTTTAACAATTAGGGCAGGTCCCTGTATAGAAGAAGAGGGCAAAGAAGTAGGGGGCATTGAAGTTGGCGGAGGAGAGTGTGATTGATAGTGAACCGGTTGACCAATACTATTAGTGTGCAAAGGAATAGTTAAACCAGCAGAGACCTTTTCGGATTTCGCAGCTTCTGAAACAACAGAATCATTTCTAGGAGGTCTAGAGCGGGAATGGAATCTGTTGGAAGGTTTTTTACTGAAGCTCCTACCACGCACATTGGGCCTAGAAGCAGAAGGATCTTTTATGGTCGAATTAGGATTTCTGGGACATGCAGAAGAGTAATGGACCAAAGACTTGCAATGTTCACAGGGAGAAGGTCTCCATTCATATTGAACCCTAAGTTCAGCAACATCCCCATCTAGAGAAACTTTTATAACTTCAGGATAGGTGGCCTTACAGTCAACCAGAACGCAGATGCGAGCAAAAGTAAGCCGAGTTTTTTGTTCAGTCAACTGATCAGCAGCTAAAGGAATTCTTACCTTGCTAGCAATCCTCGATATTCCTTCAGAATTCCAGCACGCCAAAGGAAGATCATGAATTTTGATCCATATTGGCACCTCAGAGAAGTCTTCCCTCTTCGGCTTGAACTTTGGATGCCATTTTTGAAGAACAAATGGCTTTCCAAGCAGGAACCACACTCCCTTAGACCATACCATCTCAAAATCTTCTACACAAGAAAAACGCAGTAGAAAAAAACCATCACTGAGAGAAAGAAGTTTGAGAGAACCTTTTAAAGGCCATGTTTTGTTGATAGCACCCAAAAGAGCTTTGTAATATGGCCTGCGTCCTATGGAATATCCCACAAGACAAAGGCTCCAGTCCTCGCTACCAGAAGCAAGTTTCTCAGAGGAGAAGGGAATAATTTCTGGCTCAAGAGGATGATGAGAGAAGCTAAAGCCTTTTGAAGAAGGGGAGCTTTGAACAGGCGTAAAGATATTGCTCCAGTTTCGTAAAGAGGCTGGGGCGATCGCTCCGGGAATAGAAGTGGAGAGAGGAGGGAAGTCAGAGCCATGCAAGGATGACTCCATAAGGTGAAGCCTCCGGCTTAGCCGGAGGAGGCGGAGAAGAAGAAGCTCAGCACGGAGGAGGAAAACCAAGAGGAGCAAAACCTAGCCGATAACTCCGTAGATCAGTAATTTTCAAACGTTATCCATCTTCACGTACTTGTTTCCCGAGATTTTATGGTTCGGATGATGTAAAAAAAAAAGAAGATTAGATTAACAAGAAGTTATTCAAATAAGATTCAAAAATATTTGAAAATAGTTCATTGTTTGAGTAAGCATCAAATATATTCAAATAAAGGTCAACAAGTTAGAGCAGTGATATAATCACAACAAATTACAATAGAATACAATCACAACTTTTATATCACAACAATTTATAAGTGTCATATGATAAAGGCAATCACAACACTTATAATACAACTTATAAAGTTGATACAACAAATACATTAGATCATAATATTTATACAACAAAATGCATTAACAATAAAATGCACTCACAATAAGTAGACAATAATGATAGCATCAAGCCTTTATCCCACTTTGTGGGGACGGCTATATGAATCATTTTTTTTCATTGTGTTCTATTAAGAGTCAAATTCTCTTTTAAATCTAATAAAGAAATGTTATTTCTAATATTTTAAGGTGGCTCTCTCTAATCTATTCTTCCATTGGAGCTACTTCAACCCTTTAGCGTATATGCTCGTTTCATATCATATCTCTAATAGTAATGACACTAGTTGACCTGAGTATCCTCATATTTGAAACACTTAACTTAATATTATGTTTCTATTTTAATGGCCAACATTATGCACCATAAAGCATTACAGGTCTCACCACCAACTTATAGACTTTTCCCTTAAGTTTGACGGGGGGGCTTTTCTATCACACGACAAGTCCGATTTATTCCTCCACTTCAGCCATCCAACTTGAAATTATTAGTCTGTGTGGAATCTGATTGCGTTAATCAATCGGGTTTTACTGTTGCCTTGGACATGAATTCAATTTCTCGTGCGGGTGGTTTACCCTCTGTTTTGGTTCAAGTGCTCCGATGATATGTACCCAAGTGTCCCGGTGTTGTGTACCCGAGCGCCCTGGTGCTTTGTTCTTGAGCGCCTCGGTGCTGCAGTTTGACGGGAGAAATGACAAAGAGTAAAGCACTGCAACGCTCTAGAGTCGATGCTGCAATGTTTTATAGTACTGCAACATTATAGGTTT